ATCCATCAGACTATGGGGGTGGATGATCATTAGGGTTCCCATTCCCCCAATGGGGCGGGGCTTTGTCCATTTTCGTGGCCCCTGATCTGCCGGCCCCAATTTGGCCGGCGGGGGGAATCCCACCCCCAAAGCATCTTGTATGCACCAATGTGCCCAGCTAAGTGAAATCACCTGGAGGTGACGTCATTGTGACATCATCGCGCCGGGCATGTTACGGGGTGGGGGTGGGGCGCACGATTGTTTAAGGAAAAACCATAGAGTTTTTCCTTAAACAATAGAATGTCCCCTGCAACGTGCCCTGTGTGATGATGTCACTTCCGGGTGATGTCATTGCGGTGTGCACGCTTTGTGTGTACACCGAAGAGGTCCCAGAGAAGGACCAGGACCACCACCACCCCACCGGCAGCCAGGTATAGCAACCAACATAACGTCATACCCCCCCACCCTCCCTACTCTATAAAAATGGAGGCCCAGGCTCAGCTTCTGGCTACATGCAGGAGGCAAAAATCTCTTATCCATTGCAGCTTATCACAGGGGTATGACATTTGTTCTGCCCACAGGCTACAAGCCACCTGCTAAGAGCCAAAGAGTAAGAATCCTTTTGCTCTCACTTTTAGCTCATGTCAGAGGCTCATGCCTCAGCCCAAGCACCTGTTTAAACAGGCCAGGTACCTGTGGAAGAGCCAGGAGCTCCAGTGAGTCAGCAACTTGTGCCACCTTAAAGGACCCAGTAATAAAAAGCAGGCAGCACCACAAAGACCTCTCTGTATTGAAGTCATTATATTAATTAATAACAACAGCAGTAATAATACAGAACACAATCCATCTTAACAAGGGCTCAGTGACTGCATGTGGAGTGATTAGCAAATAGTTTTGCCCCTTACCACTTCCTTGCTGCAAACACGTGTTCCCAGATGCATGCCAAGCCACCAGGGAGAGTGGGAGGGCTGAGCGTGTATCTGATATCCCGTCCAGCACTTCCACTATTGCATCATGACAAAGAGAAGGGCTGGATGGACATGCAGGGAGTCCACACTAACCTCCAGGTCTCTGTAATGGGCCATGATGCTTGCTTTCACACAGCAGTACACTTGCACCAGTGAGGGGCCACTGTGACAATCCCTCTGTGCATGGGTGCTGTGGCCGTGGGTTGTTACAAAAATTACAAAGATGTTTTTTGGAATTCTTTGCCTCACAGGTACATGTGGGCCTATCCATACATATTAGGTTTCCCTGGGGAAACAAATAGCAGCTCCCCTGGAGCCAGTTCAAATCGGGACGCTTAATTAAGAAACTTCCCTAGGATTGCCATGTGCTTACTTCTGGCAGGAGAGCTCCCGCTGGACTGGGAGAAAGGTTTGGATAGATATTATGTGACACAAGTGCATTGGGTGATGCTCTGGCTGTCCCCTAAAACTTACCATGGAGTTTTCAGGGACAGCCAGAGTATCACCTGACGCACTTACATCACATCCAGGTTTGCAGTTGGATGTGGCATCACTTGTCCTACAGTGTTTATTTCTGCTCCTTGCTCTACTCCGAATGTTCCTTTCTTCCTCCCATATGCCATGGTCCCAACCTGAATTGGGCAAGCACATGCTTTGGAGGCATGGAACTTCAGAACACATCTTTACAATGTGTAACTCAATCCTAAAGAGAGATTATGCCTATTGTTTTCTTAAAAATTAGAATTAAAAGTGAAAAGTGTATCTATGAAATAAAGAGCCCCAACATATAACTGCTTGTAAATTGAGCTATTTAGTTCTGGAAATTAAAACCATGTTTTCCAGTATAAATTTTTGCCTACAAATATTACAAATCTCCTCTGAATATCAAATGATTTTAACTTTGTTACCATGACATAGAAACAGAGAGAATATGATGGTGATAATGTTACTATGTGTACAATTTATAATAAATAAATGCATCTATTTTTGTTTCTTTTTCTCAACAGCTTTTTTTGGAGCTCAAATTAACTCTTTTATCCATGTTATAATGTATATGTATTATGGATTAGCTGCCTGTGGCCCAAAATTTCACAAGTACCTTTGGTGGAAACGCTACCTGACCATTATGCAGCTGGTAAGTAATTCTTCTTTCTAAAACTGTTATAAATGTAGATAGTTAAATTTCCTGCAAATGTACCGATAGAATTAATTTCCCACACAAATCTCTGGAGCAAGGTTTCTCTTTAAGGATCACATTATGGGCCTCAAACAGTGACCACGAGTAATAATAGTGTTCTGAGCCAGAAGTGCTTCCAGAGCCAGGAACAGAATTACATATAAAACATGTAGCTTCAAGAAGTGTGTATCAAGAAAACAGCTAGTAATGTTTCAAGCCAAAAGTACATCTATGGCTTATATACATATGAATCTTAAAATAATTTGTGTAGGAAAAAACCCCCTGCTTGATAGTTGTTTCAACTGCTTGAACAGGTCGTTCATTCAGAGGGACAATGGGGTTTGCACACACAGAATATATGTTTTGTACTTGCCTATCCAGTCTAGATTCAGCTATGCAGGCTAACAATGACAAGGTACAGAACCTGCCTTTTGCAGCTATGGGATGTTGTTTAGTTGTTGTGTATGGACAAACCAACAATATCTAAGCAAATGAGGCAGTTAATCGACTGGCCCATAAGACACATACACAGATAAGGTTGCCAGTCCCCGTCCCCCCCGCCGGCCACCAGCAGGGGATGGGGGGTAGGGTTGCCAGATTTGGGGATGGACCCTGGGGAGGACAGGGACCTCACTGAGGTACAGTGCCAGGGAGTCCACCCACCAAAATATCCCTTTTCTTCAGGGGAACTGACCTCTGTAGTCTGGAAATAAGCTGTAATTCCAACCTGGAGGCTGGCATCCCTATGCACAGATGTATCCTATGCAATGTGACACTGGGATCCCAGTGCAGGTTGGATGAAGTTGTGTGTTCACATCCATTTCTTGCAAGGATATCTACATTTTGATCTGTGTGCTTCTGTGCATAATTTCCATAGCCTAATCACAAGCAGTACCGAGGTGCACACAGAAATTTCTGATCTCATGTGCTCATTTCTAGAAAAGAACTGTAGGCTTTAGTTACATTAAAAAAATATTGTATAAGGAGGCAGTTTGTTTGGCTTCTTAGAATTTTACAGATTCTAGATTTTGAACAGCTCTGTATTATAAAATCAAGACCTTCTTTGCCTAACAACCACCATTTTTTGAAGTATGAAGTCTCAGGACAATGACACATTTCTACATTTGATAAATGTGAAGATATTTTTGAAGTATGCAGTCTCAGGACAAGAAAACATTTCTACATTTGGTTAAAAGATATTCACAGAAACAGCACTTGGATTTAAACTTAGCTAAATTATCCACTAGGAAAGTGTTAGATTTCCTGTTTCAGTGATAATGTTTGGTTTATAGTAATCTGTTTTAATGTGGACGTCCCTGTACCTCTGAAAGCGAAGTAAAGGAATCTGATTACTTGTTTGTTTGTTTGCTTTATTTATACCTCATCTTTTTCCTCAATGGCAACCCAAAGTTTCATATATTATCAGGGCCAGTGTTACCCTTAGGCCAACCTAGGTGACCGCTTAGAGCGCAGGCATCAGAGGAACACAGAACTGACGGCAGGGGTGGGGGTGGGGCTACCTGGCGAGGCCGGTGCATGTCTGTGATGCGGGAGGTGAGGGCACTTCTCCTTCCCTGCTGGTGGGGTCAGGAGAACGGCTCCAGGATGGCAGAGGGTGCCAGCGCCTGTGAGCCCACAGGTCCCACTCTCTCCCAGGCATCCTAGAAGAAGGTCTCCCCTCCCCGTTCACATTAACCCTCTGTCTCCCAGTCAAGCTGGCCTAGGAACCCTGCCTACTGCTTCTTCTGCAGACAGCCCTTCAAGTTTGAGATTGTATTACTTGTTCTCACAATTAAAAAAAAGAAATTAGCAATTTCAAATTTTGTGTTTTTTATTCTTCCTAAAATGCATTTATGTTTGAAAATTGGTGGGCACATGGGAGGGGGGGGCGCCAGAAGGTAGCCTCACCTAGTGTGCAAAAAAACCTGGCACCAGCCCTGTACATCATTCTCTTCTCCTCCATTTTTCCCTCACAACCACACTGTGAGGTAGTTTAGGCTGAGAGTGTCTGACTAGCCCAAGGTCACCCAGCAAGATTCCACAGCAGAGTAGGGATTTGAACCTGGATCTCCAGGATCCTAGTGTGATACTCAGACCACACTGGCTGTCATGTTTACTTGGTGAACATTAAAATAGTTCTGTTTCTATAAATGATAGAAGTTAATATTTTTAGCACAATAGCAGTTATCATTTTAATTGTTATATCTTCATAAACTTTTGAAAGGTAGTTAGCATCTGTGGCATCACAAATTGTTCTGTTTTTCACATGAGATTACTATTTGTATGTGTTTCATCTTAAATGATAAAATGTAATCTTAACAGAAGCATATTAATGAGAACCTTTGATTTTTTTTATACCTTTCAGATACAATTCCATGTGACTATTGGCCACACAGCTTTTTCTATTTACATTGATTGTCCTTTTCCTAAATGGATGCATTGGAGTGTCATTTTCTATGCTACCTCTTTTATTATCCTTTTTGGTAACTTCTACTATCGGACATACAAGATGCCCAAGCAGCCAGTAAAGAACGGCAAAATTACCAATGGCGTTATGGCAAATGGAATAAGCAAATCAGAAAACGGTCTAGTTATGGAAAATGGAAAGAAAAAGCAAAAGGAAAAAGCAAAAGGAGAGTAACTTGATCCAGGCCTTAACCATTGTTGGCAGTGAGGAATCTCCAGTTTGGTTGTAAAAGAAAAAGAAACGTTATTCTCTCTATACCAATTGACCTTTAGGTTACTGAAGAGATAGAACACATTATTTATGAAGATTGTTTTAACAACAACCCTTCAACATAATTTTTTTGTTGTAATTATGTAATTATTAAGAACCTGGTTATCTCTGTGTAAACTTTTAGACTGCTGGTGTTGGTGGTGTAAGAAAGAATTGCTGAAATAGTGTGCTCCAGTGGTTAATATTACAGTTAACCAAGGATATAGTTGACTTGTTGGAGAAGACATTTCTTCGAACAAACAGGTAGTTTATACATCCCTCTGATTCTCTCAGATTTTTAGACCTAATCATTACCTAATTAGAATATGGAATTGTTCCTACCCATTGAAACATAACATTCTTCGTATTTACTTAGACCAGACATATTAGGTTGTCCTGGTTTTTCATTCATGTCTGTTACAACTTCTGTTAATGTGTGGAAAATACTCCTACCTCTTCATCTGATGAAAATCACATCTAATTTAGATAATCCCAGTTTCTGTAGTTCACCACTATAAATTCTACTCTATGCTAACGAGAGAAAAAAGATTTGCTTCCATTAACG